GGGCGGGGCCTTGCGGCGGAGGGGGCGGGGCCAGCGCAAAGCTACACAGAGAAACCCTGTCTCGAAAAAAAAAAAAAAAAGAAGTGGGTTCATCTGCTGTGAGAAATGTAGCACTGACGGTGGATGCTGATAATGTGAGTCTATACACAATTAGAGCCGACACTTTGTGTACTGTACTAAACTGACACAGATTATCTGAATTAATCTTCCGAAGAGATAGATATTATCACCCCACTTTAGAGGTGTAGAAACGGAGACCCTGAAAAGGCTAGTAACTTCAAGAACACTCTGTGGAGCGAGGTCTGATTCAGCCTGTCACCTCCTCAGGGCTGGGGTAGGATGGGTCCAGAATACAGGGGCCCTGGTTTCTTCCTCCTAGGCACAGCTAGGAGGTACTTGTTTTGGGCCATCTGCCATTAGTAAGTGACTCACACGGTATGTAGATGTGGGTGGCCCAGTTGCCCCGCTCATGGGGAAAGGTCCGAATGCGTCCCCCATGTTTTGCACTGTCATCCTCGGGCCCCTCCTCGGTGCTAGAGAACATGCTGAGCACACTGTCAGGCACTGGAAACCTCTGAGTGGGAAGGGGGTTCTGGCCACTGCAAAAGAAGAACGAACAAGCATTGTCTCCCTTTGCACATACAACAAAAGTTCTAAGCCCTTATGCACAGTGCTTCTTTCTACAGCAGTCTTGCCGTGTAGTACAGGCTGCCCTCAATCTTGATCCTCCTACCTCAACCACAGTGGCTGAGTATGTATCTCTAGGCAGGTGGTGTTTGAGCTTCTAGAGAGCCATAGCTCTCTAGAACTATTGAAGCCTCCCAGCTACTCTGGGAGCCCCTCAGCTGGGCTCTTGATCCCTATAGGAAAGAAACACTTGAGCAGATAGCTGTGTGGCGTGAAAATCCTTATTACCTAGCAGGACAGGCCTGAACTAAAGCAGCTCTGTGATCTTGTACATTAATTTCCTTGTGTGTAAAGCATATTTCTATTTGCTGGAGCTCTTGCGCAATGAACTGCGGACACACTGCACTCAGCAAAGACCAGTATTTAAGAACCTAAGGCCGGGCCGGGCGGTGGTGGCACACGCCTTTAATCCCAGCACTCGGGAGGCAGAGCCAGGCGGATCTCTGTGAGTTCGAGGCCAGCCTGGACTACCAAGTGAGTTCCAGGAAAGGCGCAAAGCTACACAGAGAAACCCTGTCTCGAAAAACCAGAAGAACCTAAGGCCCTTGAAGTATAAGATTCCCATGGGTTTTGCGCCAGTCGGGAGTGTCCAGTCTCCAGTATGGATCCCAGTGGCTGCTCACTGAGCATTTACTAGACGAATGAAAAGCTTTGGTTATTATTGCACTGTGTTCAAATGACGAGACAGATCTTGGAAGCAACACGCTTGCACACCAAAGGAGAAAAATGTAACGGTTAGGGCTTGTCTTGAACCCGTGTCCTCGCTCCCAACTTCGCCTTGGCCAAGGGGGTAGGAGGGTGCCATTTGAGGGCTTTGTCCAGGGTGTGCTCTGAATCCTCCTTTCCCTCGACGTCCCTTCTTTTCCTCCCGGGGCACCGACCCACCCTCCCGGTTATCCCGGAGGCTCGGGTTCCACTAGGGTTTCAAAAAGAATCGCGCCCTCGCGATAGAAACTTCCTCGCTCCTCACCAACGGCGGACCCCAGACCTGGGCTTGCTCCGCCCCGCGGCGGCGGGGGCGGCGGCGGCGGCCTCGGCTTCATCCTCCGAGCCGCTGCTGCTGTAGCCCACCAGGGGCGCCGCGCTCATGGGGGGCGGGGGCCTTGACCACAGGCGGAACCCGCGGGGAACCCAGGCCGGCGGACCGAGTTCCGCTGAGCCGGAAGTGCCCTCTGGGGCGGGACCTAGAGTGGCTCCACCTCGGGGCGGGGCCTTGCGGCGGAGGGGGCGGGGCCCAGAGGACTACCGCAAACTGCGCCCGCCGGCTACGCGGTAAGTGCTGCGGGAGCCCTCCTGCAACGCTCGGTCGTCCTAGTGCCCCGGTGCGGGTCCGCTTGTCAGACCTGCACCAAGTCAGAGCCCCAGGATCTCAGGATCACGCCTGAGAGGGCTGAGCTGCACGTCAGCTGCAGGAGACCGGAGGGTCGGGTGGGGCGGGCTGTCGCCTGCAGGGACAGGGCTGCGACTGCACCCGGGCGCCTCAGCTCCGTAGGCTTCCGTGAGCGGATCCCGAGGCTCCAGCCCCGCCCCTCCGTACCCACAGGCTCGGGCCGGAGGGCCCGCGGGTCCCCGGCAGGGGGCGGCCTCGCACCGTGCCGCGGGCTCCTCCGCAGCCGCCGCCCGGGCCGCGGCTCCTCCCCCGGCCCCGCCTCCCCTGCCTCGCGCCGCCCGCCAGTCCGCCGGTCTCTGCAGGACCGTCGGTCTGTCCGCTCGCTCGTCCCTCCGCTGCCCGGGTCCCGCTAGCCCGAGTGCGCGTGTCGATTCGCCGGTTCCGGCCGTCACACACCCGTCTCTCGCCCCTGGGCTGCCCGCCTCTGCTACGCGAGGCCGGGGATTGGCGGGGCGCGTAGGCCGCGCCACCGCGGATGGAGCCGGAATAAAGAGGCAGCCGAGAAAGCAGCTGGTCTCCGCTCGCCCCGCGCCTGACCCCACGGGCGGCCTGGAGCAGGTGAGCTGCAGGGCATCCGGGGCTGCATCTGGGGGGCCACTCCGGTGCCCACTGCACCTCGGGAGAGCCTCCTGAGCTCTGGGGCGGCCCAGGCCAGGCCTGGAAGCACAGTCGCTTCCCGGGCACGGTTTAAGGCTCTGGGGCCTTCCTCGGCCCGAGCCACCCTTTCTCAGGCCTTTCTCGGGCCGCTGCGGCTGGGCCATCCAGAGCAAGAGCTGACAGGAGGCAGCCCGGCTGGGCCCGATGGGAGGCGACCAGCTTTCATTCAGTTACCCGGAGAAGAAGGCCTGGGGTGGGGCGCAGGTGGGGGCTTCTCCTTGCCTTCCCTCCCCTCCCCTCCTCTCTCCTGCCCTTTGCGGAGTGATCTGAGAGTGTTCCTGGCCTCACCTTTCTGGAGAAGGGTCAGGGTAGGCAGTAGGGTTGCTCCGGGAGGTGGGGAGTGGGGGTGGCCGCTGGGGCTGACAGCCATTCATACCAAAAAAAATAACACACAGTTGGATCGGTACAGCTAGACCAGACAGCGCTCAGAGCAGTCCACCTCTCATTTCTACCTTAGGAACGCTAGAATGACCAGTTCATGCTTGTTCATACTTCTTGGTACTACACCAGCCAGCGCCTTTCCCCCTTCCTTCCCCAGGAGATGCTGAGGATGACAACTTTTAGCGTGATTCTTTTGTTTCTTCAGCGGAACAGAAGCCAGACTGGCTTGTGGGGTCAATCTCTACCTTCTTCCTCTTAGAGAGAAAACTTACAGACTTTTCAATCTTAAGTGGCAGATGAGCCGAGAACCTGGAAAGGTTGCCTTTAGTTCCAAAAGTTCCTCCCTCTCTTTACGCTGCCTCAAAGTGGCGAATTAGAGATTTGCTGGGGTTGGGTGGGCTTTATCTTGCATTGATTACTGTGAATGTTTTGGACCTGGAGGAGAAACACCCTGTGGCGAGCTTTATCATGTATAACTCAGGCAAACAGGACACTTTCTTACAGCATGTTCCTCTGGGAGATGATTAGAATACAGAAGTTCAGCCTGGAGGATCTCCATGCTGGGTGGAGGATTTCCACGCCGGGCAGAGGGTCTCCACGCTGGGTGGGTCTATGAACCTCTCGTTTAACCCTGCTTGCCAGGAGTTCAGGGCCCTGCAAGGCCGTTCATCCTGTTACAACCAGAGATGCATGTGCCCAGGGAAAGGCCTGGCGTGCAGGTGAAGAGGGTCATGGACCAGTCCCTTGAAGGAGAGGGTTTTTAGGTAGTCCTTAATACTGATGTCTTTAATATTAGCTCCCAGAGTCCGTTTGCCTTAGGACTGGTGCCTTGGGGGTGTGGCTTCCCTCTGCTAGCCAGCTTCTCTGGTCTCTAAGTAGTGGTGTCCTCATGTTAATGTGAAAGGGGCCGGCAGGCCTTAGGGACAGGTCACCCCAGACCCTGTGAGACACCTGACTGAATAAGGCCACATGGAAACTAGAGGGGATTTGTGGAGGCTGAGATGCCCTGCTGGAGAAAGGGGAACTGAAGGAAATGGGCATGGAAAGAGCTCCTTCCCCTTTGCATGGAGGAGTGGAGCTGCTACCAGACTTCTTGGATACCGTGAAGGGAGTAGCTTTGCCGCCCTGAGCATCTCCCTCCCCTAAGGCAGCTTATGTCCATGCAGTGAGCGTGGGCAGCACAGGAAAAGGGGGGGGAGGGCAGGGCCACGTGTTCCTGCCTCAAGTTCACTGTGTCTCTCTTCCCTACAGAGCCGGTTACTGGGGAAGGCAGAGCCTTCTTGGCATTGCTGGGACCCTGTCTCGAAGAGCCCCTGTCCTGTAAACACTGCCTTGTAGCTCTCTTCTTGGCTAATGACAAGGGCTGTCTGACCAGTCTCCTCTGTGCCTTGTGCGAGGTTCTTGTCCGCCCCTGAGATCCGGTAGCTTCTCTCTCCGGGTTGGGTTCACCTTAAGCGGGAAACTGAAGCCATTACTGTCCAAACCCAGTTTCATCTTCCCAAGCATGTCGGAAAGCTGGCAGCAGCCACCGCAGGCGCAGCCGCAACAGCCGCAGGCACCGCAGCCGCAGCACCATGCAGAGCCGCCACCGGCCCTGGCTGAGCACTCGCTGCCCCCAGGAACAGCTGAGAACCCACTGGGCTGTGCGGTCTATGGCATACTTCTGCAACCTGACCCAGGCCTGCAGCCCCCACAGCATGCACCGCTGCCAGCAGGGGAGCCAGGCCCCAAATGTGGCGTGTGTGGCCATGACCTGGCACACCTAGCCAGCCCCCACGAGCACCAGTGCCTGGCAGGCCATGACCGCTCATTCCAGTGCACACAGTGTCTCAAGATATTCCATCAGGCCACCGACCTGCTGGAACACCAGTGTGTGCAGGCTGAGCAGAAGCCTTTCGTCTGCGGCGTCTGCAAAATGGGCTTCTCCCTGCTCACCTCACTGGCCCAGCACCACAGCTCCCACACTGGCATGGTGAAGTGCTCCATCTGTGACAAGACCTACAAGCCAGCCGAGGGCGCTGAGCCAGCCACCACTACTGCCCCATCGCTGCCCCCGGCGCCTCCACCCGCTAACGTGGCCCCCGCGGAACAACCCGAAAAGCCCTATAGCTGCCCCATCTGCCAGAAGCCCTTCAAGCACCTGTCGGAGCTCTCCCGGCACGAGCGGATCCACACGGGGGAGAAGCCGTACAAGTGCACGCTGTGCGACAAGAGCTTCAGCCAGTCTTCCCACCTAGTGCACCACAAGCGCACGCACAGCTCCGAGCGGCCCTACAAGTGTGCCGTCTGCGAGAAAACCTTCAAGCACCGCTCCCACCTGGTGCGCCACATGTACGCCCACTCGGGGGAGCACCACCTGTTCCGCTGCAACGTGTGCGAGCTGCACTTCAAGGAGTCGTCCGAGTTGTTGCAGCACCCCTGCACCCCGAGCGGGGAGCGGCCCTTTCGCTGCGGCGAGTGCCAGAAGGCCTTCAAGAGGCCGTCGGACCTGCGGCAGCACGAGCGCACCCACAGTGCCGAGCGGCCTTTCAAGTGTGACCTGTGCCCCATGGGCTTCAAGCAGCAGTATGCGCTGATGCGGCACCGGCGCACGCACAAGACGGAAGAGCCCTTCAAGTGTGGCCTCTGTGAGAAGGGCTTTGGGCAGCCCAGCCACCTGCTCTACCACCAGCACGTGCACACCCTGGAGACTCTCTTCAAGTGCCCCGTGTGCCAGAAGGGCTTCGACCAGTCGGCTGAGCTGCTGCGGCACAAGTGCCTGCCGAGCTCCACAGAGCGGCCCTTCAAGTGCCCGGTGTGTAACAAGGCCTACAAGCGGGCATCTGCCCTGCAGAAGCACCAGCTGTCCCACTGCGCTGCAGCCGAGAAGCCTCTGCGCTGCACCCTGTGTGAGCGCCGCTTTTTCTCCTCCTCGGAGTTTGTGCAGCACCGCTGTGACCCTGCCCGGGAGAAGCCACTCAAATGCCCGGACTGTGAGAAGCGCTTCAAGTACGCCTCCGACCTGCAGCGCCACCGGCGGGTGCACACGGGCGAGAAGCCCTACAAGTGCCCCAACTGCGATAAAGCCTTCAAGCAGCGCGAGCATCTCAACAAGCACCAGGGCGTGCACGCCCGCGAGCAGCAGTTCAAGTGTGTGTGGTGTGGCGAGCGCTTCCTGGATGTGGCGCTGCTCCAGGAGCACAGTGCCCAGCACAGCGCTGCCGCCGCCGCTGCGGAGGGCGCCTACCAGGTGGCGGCCTGCCTGCCCTAAGGCCCGGGGCCACCGCCTGGCCTGTCTAGTCTCGCCTGCTTGCAGCTGCATGGCAGCAAGCCTGTCAGCCAGCTCCCTCCTCAGGAGTGAGGACCGAAGGGTCCTGGGCAGGTGGAGGGTGTGCATGTTCAGTACCGGCACCAGCCCGGCCATCGGAGGAGCCAAACTGCTGTGGCCAGACCAGATTCCATTGACCTCTCCCCCACGACAGGACTTGCTTTCTGAGAGCCTGCTGTCCTCCTTATCTATAAGGAACTTGAATCCCACCTGTAGTCAGGTGCCTCTCTGCCCCAGGTATGAGGGATGCCAACCCCCTTCCCAAATTGTTCAGCCTAGTTAGAAGCCAGGTGGCTTGGGAAGAAGAAAATAGGGTTTCTCCTCAAATTGCTTTTTTTTGCCGGGAAAGGCCAGCTTTGTGACAGTTCTGGAGACTTAGAGTGTAGACCGTGAGCTACAGTCCTCTGACTGCCCAGCTAGAATGAATGTGCCCCAACCCCAAG